TCGAATTCAGTCGCTGTCTGGAGGATACTTCTAGCGGCTGGCTGCTCTGATCGGTAGTTTTCCCTGTATTTCCGATCAACACCAGACGAATGCCGGAGCAGAACTCTAACAAACAGGACCCGGACCGCGCGCGATATTTCTTTCCTCTTCTTTGTCTTATCCACACTCGTTACACACACTTACCCTAACATGCACTACAACGACCGCACTTGCTGAGAGGCCGGTCAGGAGCATAGAGCTTGTCCCGGGTGAGGCGGTGCCCGCTAGTGGGAGATACCTGATTGGAGAAACCCTGCTAGCCGACAGTAGGTCGGCGCCGGATCTCGCCATTCAACTGGGGAAGATCACCGCCACCTCCCGAGAAAAAAACATGCACTTCACGTATGGGACTAATGACCTCGGTAGTTAACGCGCCCCGAATCAGTAACAACCAACCAACCAGCCGTGGCGGTAATATTCGTGTCACTTGTCATTTAGTTATGCTCTCTCTCTCTCTCCCTGATATTTCTATTCATTATTTAATAAGTATTTTGTAATGAAATTATTTTTTTGAGCATTGATTTACTCTTTACAGTTATCTAACTCTTTAGTAAAATATCTAACAATAATTGACTGAGTTTAATAAAATTAAAAAAATAAACATGATATTTTCCTGGCATTGATTATTTCGTTTTCCGTAAAAAATTCAGATCTAAACAAACCAAAAAGTAAGAAATTTCGTTTCATTATATGGGTGCAGAATCAAAGATTGTCGCCTTTTCTCGTGGCAAAATGTACTTAAACGTTTAAAAAATTAAATAATTTATAGGTAAGGATAACAATTAAAAAATAAATAAAAAGTGAACGAATAATTCATGATTTGTCAATTTTTATTTTCTCACCCCCCTCTCAGTTCGAAAGAAGAGAGTATTTTAATCGTGATCCAGAAATCGGAGACGTTTTGACAGAAAAATGTTGTGCTGTGCCCTGGTAACGAAAAAGAGTATCGAAAAATCGTATTACTTTGTATAGTAAATTACTACCTCTAACACATTGTGTAACCAAACTCTCTGTCTTGTGGATCATTGATACCGAAAAATGATTCACGGCAAAACGTCCGTCTGTTCGTGAGTGATCAACCCTACCACCTAAACAGTTTAGTCCATTTTCTTCAAAATTAACATTCCTCACTACTGCATTTCTTACCACAGTAGTAAGAAGTATCTGCATTATCGTTGATTAAACTGCAAGATTTATATGCAATTCTTCATGTGAAAGTCGTAACAATGTGAGGATGCACTGAAGGGTAGAATTAATTTGAACTCCTTCACGCTTCCCTTACTCGGACATTAGTGGGTAATTTACATAGAAACGTGACACAATAGACCTACTGATACCTCTTACTATATTTAAATCGTTGGTATTACTAAACTGAGTAGACACAGTATGCGAGTTTGAGAAATTCAGTCGATATTATATTCAGGTTATCTGCATTCAAAGGGTCATTCAGTGAATTGCTAAAATTGAACACAATTATGTGCTCTTGCGTTTGAGCCCTAGCCTAGGCTGCGTTGAGTGTTTCAAGCAGATGTTAAGAACACTTTGTGTGTCTTAGTTGTGTCCGTAGTCACAAATCTACTAAAGTAGAAAATAGAGCAGCTATTAACTAGTATATTATTTCAAAGTTCCATTTATACGAGATTAATATCTGATATATACAAGACGTATTCAGAAAGTTCAGTTTTGAAAAAAAAATGTAAAAAAATCATGTAATGCAAATTTTATTTTTACATGAAAATACATTTCTTAATATATTTTGCAACATAGTTTCCGCCAATGTTCAAACACTTGCCGTAGCGGGTGACCAGTTTTTGTATACCATCTTCAAAGAAACTTCCCGCCAGTATCGGTAGTCTGGACCCCACAGCAATTTTTGTCTCATCGTCAGATCCAAAGCGCTTGCCGCCTAGCTAGCGGTCACTGACGATTTTGAACAAATAGTTCGTGAAATTTGTAGAAATTCCTCTGAAAGGGTTGTCATTGAGAATCCTCTGTTCTCATTAATTTCTTCATCAACTTTCCTTACCAAATCATCGGTGACAACAAAGGCCATCCACTCCAAACCTCATCGTGGACATTTATTCGACATTCATTAAGCGTTTTCCTTTAGTTTATTTTAGTCCTCACGTTAGAGAATAACTCTAGCTTTTTGAAACACGTTTTCTCGTCAAAAACGGAACAAAGAGTATGCGACGTAATGTAGAGTGTCAAGAAGAAAATACTGGACTTCTTGGTAAGATTGTATTAATTAATGTGAAAAAATCGGCTAAAGTGTGCTAATTTGCATCTGCTTATCATCACAGTATAGAAGGCGCGAAGAACGTTTCACGCATTTGTGACACCTCCCACTGCGTCCTTAAGGAAGACCGCCCGAAGACCATTAAAGAAGTACCTTGAAAAATTAGAACAGCTGATTACTTTTAATATAATTAAAACATTATACTAAAGGAAAGAAAATTAGCGGATCTCGTAAAATCAACTTCTCGTGATACAACACTTATTATTATTATTATTATTATTATTATTATTACCATCGTTTATAAACTGCAAACAATATAACAACTGAAATATCTACTTAACCACCTATTTCCTCCATTGTACAAGTCGATGGGAATGTTCGAGAATGTTTAAGTCTCACATAGAGTCTTTTTATAATCCATTCCCTGAAGGCCATAATGTTTGGAGACCTCTGAGTAAACCGAGGAATCAATTGTTAAATTTTACATTCCCTGGATGTATTTCTAAACCAAAATATAAATACATTTTCAGAGACAGACTTAGTAAGCAAACCTTAAATCAAATTAAGGTTTATATCAATATTTTTCATAAATTGCAGAAAAAATACTTAATTACTAGATCGTGCTAATTTTCACAATAATGAAAACGCAAAGGTTGCTTGAAACATTAGTGAACATCCCACTGGTCTTTCTTTAGGTGTTTGTATCGAAACCATTATGTTAGTTGAAACTTGATATACTATATCAGTTAAGTTTTCAATTTTACATTAACTGTTGAGTGAAATCCAGAAAATTATCAATTTTAAATGAACGAGATTTTTAAAGTTAATGTAGGCTTGAAATTAAAATTATCGTTTAATAACCTACCGAAAATTGTAACACAACATTTAATATTGTTCTATATTTATATGAACTGAAATAGCCGCTAATAATCCTGATCTTGGCACGACTATAAATAAACAAAAGAAAAACGTACGTAATTACTAGATAGTGCTTATCATCACAACACAGCAGGCGGACGAGTGTTTCAAACATTTGTGCACCTCTCACAGCTCATTCTTCAGGCGATCGTCTCGAGACCATAATGGCCCTAGCGACCTGAGAAACTAGAGCAGTTGTTATCGCAAAGAGCGAGAAATTTACGTGAAGTGTACTCCGTGTCGGGGACGCGCCTGCTCGCCGAGCTCTTTTCCGCGACTACGAACGTCACAGCACCGTTTTAATTACACGTTTCATTAAATTTCAATTACTGCTGCCCCGCTAATAAGACACCGCAGTTGAAACTTTTCCAACGCAGAACTCGACATATTCCTGGCTCGGGCTTCCTACAGTGTCCGTAAAATTTGTCTCGTTGTGGTCACGTAGTGTCTGAAGATATTGTGAAGTGCATATGAGGTTCTTAAATAAATGAACCTATTATGAAAAATTACCAATCATTTCAGACTTACAAAAACGTTTTTAAAAGTTAAACAACATAAATGTACATCACCACAAAACTGTCAGTATTTGAAATATTTTTAAACAATTATTTTCCAAAAAACGACTTCAATTATTTTCTTCAGTATTTCGCGAAATACAAAGATGACGCATGTTCCATTTTCGGGGACCTCACCGTATTTTGGATTTTCTTATTATTACATATTTTCCACATTGATTGAAAAGCAGTAGCAGTCACCTTTGTAATTTCGTTTCTCAAGCCACATCATAGGAATCCTGTAACAAATCGATTAAACCGCAAATTAAGATCTTCTTCACATTCTGTGCACACTTTACGAGTCCAGTTTTTGATCAATGAATTTTAATCCAAAGTAGGCTAAACATGCTTCATTCAGTAACTTATAATTCTTAGTTACTTTTTAATATTAATAGCATATTCAATACAAATGAAACAGAAATGTGAATGAACACAATCCCTAGTATTTTTCTTTCTCGACCTTACTTCATAGGAAGATAAAGTATTGTAATCCTGCACCGGAAACCCGCGAACTTTTGACAGAAAAATTTAATGCCGGGACGTGGAAAAAAAAAGGGGATAAATATTGTTCCTATGTACAGTACATTACTTCCTCTACCATATTCAGTAGTCAGAATCCATGTTTTGTGGGTCCTTGTTACCGCAAAATTGATTGACAGCAAAACGTCTGTCTGTCTGTTTGTAGAAGTGCGAAAAATGCTCAAACAATTTTCTCCAAAATTGTTATTCCTCAATAAAAACCATGGTCCTTTGAGTTTGAAACGAATATTTTGACTTTGGTTGCTACTTTATATGAAGCATCAACATTTTCAAAATTTTCTGGTTCCAAATTTTTTCATTCTACTTTGTCCTCGTTTAGCATAAATGACGCTTAAGAGAATGGTGCGGTTCTCAGTTTCGTTGAAGTTTCTGTATTTTCGTTGAAATTTATAATTTGTCGTTTAAAATTGCAAGAGTTGAATTTTTTGGCATCTTCCTACTATATACAAATTTGAAGATCAAATAACTCTCATTGCATCACTTCTTTTTCCTTTGCAATAATCAGCTGCTTATAGGCAAACATTAGACTATTGAAAAATGCACCATAATGCAATTATTCTGATATATAAAAATACTTAGTCATTTACAATACCTATCCGTTTCGACATCACTGAAATAAAACAACAGAAATACTACAACATTGTCTCACTCCTAAATTTATTGTTGATTTGAAGATTTTGTTTTTCTCTGTTTTTTTATTGATATTTTAGAACGTTCGAATATACTTCTTTTTATTTTTAGTAAATGCAAGGAGATGCTTCTTGATTCCATGATTTTCCAAAGTTCATCTCATTTGACACAGTTTACAAATGTGAGGTAAAACTCTCTGTTGTATTCTCTAATTTTTTCAAAGATGTTTGATTGTGAATATATTGTGTGCACGATCTACCTTTCCTAAACCCTTATTTCACTTTCTGAAGCCTTTGAGTTATGATTTTGAAAAAAGCATCCTTATAGTCTTATACCTTTGTAGTTGGAACATTCCTTCCTGTTTTAAAAATAGATACCACAATAGTGTAGGTTGTAATCAGCTTTGGTGCAGTATTTCTAAGAAATGCCTTTTTCTATCAAAGGAAATACATTTCATTATTTCTACAATTACTAGTATCCGGAACCCTTCCTGTTTTTGCATCTGCACAGTGGATTTTCAAGTTCAGGCATGTCTCTTTTATCTACATCCGCAAAAAATTTTAACTGTCTTCGTGTCAGACGCGTCTATAATTTTCCCTAACCAAATGCACAGAATTAAAACATATGATGCAATAATGAGGAACGATTAACGACGAATGAGTTTTAAATCGTCGAGTTGCAGTCGTATCGGCGATTAGACAGGATATTGAACTCGACAGACACGAGACCACACTGTGCACTGAATTCATGCATCGTAACTCTGCCGCATGCCGACCATAAATGCAATAGAGCACGCCCGTTATCTATAATCTCGCTGTAGTATACTAATAATTTCCTGTCGTCCTCTCCGTCTTGGCGAATGTCTTGAAGGACAGCGCTATCCAATGGCTCGTTAAAGTAGCTCTTCATGTCCGAGAATCTTACGATGGGACGCGGCATTGTTTATGGAACGTTTGCTTCTCGGGCGTTGAATCGAACATTTACTATGGCATGGCGTTACGGCACCCAGCAACCGCTGTCAGAACGTTTGAGGATGTTGGAAGACGGCGCGATCTGGCGGATTGGATGATGGTCACTATTGACGGTGCTCAACCTCTCCGGCCGATATATTCACGTAGTGCGGCTGCGTAGGACGGCCTACATTACTACGTCCAGTCTGATTCTCATCTGAGTAGCCACTGACGGTGGGAAGCGAACACTTCAAGTCATTCTTTTCCTTTTTTATTTATTTATTTATTTATTTATTTATTTATTTATTTATTTATTTATTTATTTATTTAATTTCATCCATCAAACATTCATATACTATGTATTAAGTTGAATTATGAATAAAGGTAGCAACGAGGTATTGCCAAGAATTGATAAGAGAATATTCGCTCTCGTGTAATAAAAAATATTTGCAAAGGCAAATCAGATACCGATACAGATTGAGATTATTATCCTTACCGTGCCGTTCGTGATAAAATCGCTAATTCTGGCGCGAGTATGTGGGGAACGATTATTTCAATAACAACTTTACTCACTGAACGTCCGAAAACGTGCACAGACAGTGAATGTACATTTATGTCCAAAAGCAAAACAAGGAGCCATTTCAGCATTTGCTCGAATGATCAGAGTAACTAGACGAAACACCTAATCGAGATGGGGTCATTGACCCAGAAGCTGCGATACAATACTAGTTACTGGCATGTTTAAGAATTACACTGTACAAATGGTACCTAACAATTAGAATATTGTTGTTAACATCAACATTATTTTCCTTTTTGATGTTCAGTATAATCTATAGTTGTATAGAAACTGTCTCTAGTTGTATAGAAAGATTTTATTTGGCACTTAAACTTCCGTATCGTTTTTAATACATTACTGTCATCAGGCAAAATAATGTACACAGTGGAAACATTAGATTTTGCCTCGAAAATGGCTTGGTCCGAGATGTTGATGGCGATTGATATTCCTGCCTGCCTACATCGCTATATAACGATGATTTTCAAAACTACATTCTCTAGATCGAAGAAAGAAGATTAAATTTATTTGATTGGGGAGTGTATATATTCTTTAACGTCCATTGAGAGCTAAATAATAGTACTATCTACAGATAGTAAAGAATTATACCAGCTCTTGTGTTTAGACTAATTTTTGTTTAAACCACGTCTTTTGTTTTAAACAGGGGGTTTTGTGTTTTTTTGGTCGTGAATTGGCCGTCTAGGACCATGCGGTCATACACCTGCACTTACTGAAGCTCAGTAAGATTTATCCCGTGGCAAGAGTATGTTAATCTGTTTTGGGGCAATCAGTATCATTCTGGAAATCAATTTTTATCCTCCAGGGTTGCTAGTCCTGGGAGGATGGAAGACGGAATGATGATGACGATGATGATGAAGGATGAATCGACGACACACACCCATACAGTCATATTCAAAGACACCTACACCCAAGGCGTGGCTCGAACCCGCGATCCTTCCGGCCGAGATCGCCACGGCACTGCTGCCTTAGCGATCTTCGCTATCCGAATTGCCTAAGCAGTGTTTATTTATTAAAATAATAGTTTTTCTCAATATAATTTTTTTTGTTAAAATACGACTTTGGTTAAAATACTAATCTTGTAAAATTTTGGGAGTTGAAATAAGTTTTTGTGTCCCAAATCATATTTTGTGGTTATAAAGAATTTCATTTCTAAATAAGATTTTTGTTAAAATACGTTTTTTAATGAAAATAATTTTGAGTCCAGGCCATTGAATTTAAATTAGTGATCAAATAGTAATTCTAAAGAACATTAGCGTTGTTTTAAAAAAAATGTGCTATCGTGCTGATGAAATGACGGTTTTGAACCAGGGATCATCATTATTATTTTATTATTCTTTTAAAATCATAGTCATAGTTGACGTGTTTGTTGTTCATTTAATAATAAAGCGATGTAGGTTTTGTTTTTGATTCGTTCGTGTAGGAACAACCGCTACAACCGCAATTGACGCGATGATGTTTGGACGTGAGATCTGAGCAGGAAACAACCCACTACACATTCGCAGTTTCGACGTGAATGATCTACAAGGGACCAGGACGTGAAGTGGGAAGAGTAAATCGACAAAGAGGAAAATAAAATAGAAACAAATGCAATTTATAATTGAACATGGCGGTTTGTTTTGAATTGAAACTACAGAGGAAGAACGTTAATGTCAATTACAGCGCTAAATTGAATGCAAAACGATAAAAAAGGAATGTCTACAAATGTATCATCATTAGTTGGCATAAGTGGAAAAATTCACGTAAAATTACATGTTTACAATTTTGTTTAATACGTGTATTTCAAATTCTATGCAAGTGAAAATTAATTTTCTGTCTGAAGTTTTCCCTGCAGGCAACGGCTCTAGGTGTTATCGCCCTCTTAATTATGTTTCCCACCACCGACCCGTTTACCCTAATTATTTAGTTATTACACCTTTCATTAATTATTCCACTGACGCAGAGTACAGGCAGACAGGAGACGAGGAACAAGAGCAGGGGAGGGCGAGCTCGCGAGCACCGGTGCAGGCGAAGGCGTGCGTGGAGGCGGGGGATGTGGTGCAACGACACAATGCCAGGACGGGTGAGACGACACGGGCCGGAGCGGGGAAGCGGAGGCAAGACATGTCGCAGAGGGCGTACTGCAAAGGAACAGGTCGGAGCGGAGCGAACCGGAATGGGGCGTGGTTGATTGATTGCTGTTGCAGGGCACGTCAGCTGCTATGGTCATTGATCTCGTAAGTGTAGTGAATGTTTTATGTTAGTCTAGTGAAGGTGGTGGTGAGACCCGGCGCCGACCTACGCGTCAGTCTACTATCTGACCAGTCTCCCGATGTATGGTAGAGTAGTACATGTAAGTGTAAGTTTGTGTGCAAGGGGAGATGATAGGACAAGAAAGAGGAAGGAAAGATCACGTGCAGCCCGTTTGTATGGATACTGCTCCGGCACTCGCCTAATATTGAACGACGAAAACACGGAAAATTACGTACAAATCAGAGGAGCCGGCCGTGGTTTTCTCCAGAGACAGGATTTGAATTTCACCTACGTGTGTAGCAAGTGTGAGAACTCCCACCCCGTCGGGAATAGAAACGTATGACCTCCCGTTTAGAAATACTGCACAGACAACCCAGACCCCAGAAGGAGGGGGTGGGGGAATTTGCCACAGGCTCTGACTTAATTGGGACCTGAATTTTTTTTCACTTTCACAAGAAATGAAAAATATATTTATCTCTAACCTAAATTTAACGCAAAAGTTATTTCTATTGCATTGAGAAATTAATTCTGTTTATGAATTGGGGGAACTGCTCTAGGCCCCTGGTTTTCTCTGGGTGCCTCTGCTGTCGAAACACGGAGTAGTAGAACTGAAGGATACGAATTAGACAGGCGTGGTGGGGAAAATCGTAGCAGGACGGAGCTGAATGAATTTTTAACAAGGGGTACAGAAACTAATGGGAGGGAACTGAACTAGATGGGTGGGTGAGTATTGTGAACCGGCGCATCAACTACTTACGTCCTAAGTCCCGTAAGGGCAGTGTATGTTATATAACGTGATGGCGGTTTTCCTCCCACGTTGGAATGTGAGATACGATCAACTCGACTTGCGGTTTTCCCTGTCCAGGTATCTGTCCAATCTGCAGCTGGAACAAGGTCAAAGCTGGTCACACGTCATGTCACTTTACTGGCATAGTATAGGAAGTTAAAAAAGAGGTGCAATAGCTCCTAATAGTCCCAATAATAAAAAAAGGGATTTTAAGGTAAATCGGTCTCGATAATATATATTCATGTGCAGTATCACCTTATCTGATATTGTAACAATTGCCTCTTGGTAGCATATACATCATTATTTTATGGACCGAGATCGCTATATATTTTTATGGAATAACGTTGCCCAAAAATTTAGATATTTTTAAAATATATTTTAATGAATTGAAAATCCAAGAAATAAACATTTTTATATGACTTGCAAGGCGATATTATTTATCGTCGGTTAACGGTAATTATTTACTGTGACGGGCAAATTAAATCACATTATTTTGCTCAACACAAGTATTGTGTTACAACAGTTTTTCAGAAAAGTGACAATCTGCGAGTGACAAGTGAGAGTATAAAAGGATGAGGACAAGGATCAGGAAGGAATGCTCATGGTCCGTTCGTTAAGAGTCCTGCTCCGGATTTCGTCTGGTGATGGTCGGAAAACACGGAAAACTACCGATCAGACCAGCCGGAAGATATAATTATGTTTCAGTCTATGGTTATTCGAACCAGTTCTGTAGTTAGTGTGTAAAACCAGCCGCCATCGGGACTCGAGAAGTAGGGCCTCCGAGTCTATGATGCTGCAGAGTCAATGGTATTCCAGCTAAGCTATCGCAGCCGATATGATGTGGATTGGTGGAGGAAGGAAAGCAGCGAGGAATGTGCTGGATTTTGATTAATAGATTGATTGATTAGTTATTCTGGGCACGTCAACTGCTGGTCATTAGTCTGTAAGTGAGGTGCTTGTCTTTTACTCGGGAGGTGGCGGTGATCTTTTGCCGCTGAATGTCGAGATTCGGCACCGACCTATCATCGACCAGTGGGGTTTTCCCCAACCAGGTTTCTCTCACTTGCGAGCTTGCAGAGGTAGCTCAGTGCATCAGTTTATGTCACTGCAGTGCCTCTGACCGGGACGTCCGAGGTTCGAGTCCGGACAGTTGGCAAAGTTTTCGACACTAGCTTGTCTGCTAGGTCGAATTCAGTCGCTGTATATAGGAAAATACTAGAGGCCGGCTGCTCAGATTGGTGGTTTTCTGTGGGTTCTTATTTGAACACCAGGCGAATGCCGGAACAGAACCCAAACAGGGATACGGACCGCGCGTGATTCCTCTTCCTTGTCGTATCCCCACCCTTACACACACACTTTCATGCACTACACTACCACACATCATAGATGACCGGTGGGGGGCTTCGAGCTCGTCCCGATTGAGGCGGTACCCCGCCGATGAGAGATATCTGGTTAGGGGAACCCCCTCGACGGTAGGTCGGCGCCGGATCTCGCCATCCTGCAGGGAAGATCACCCCGTCAGGAAAAAGACATGCATTGCACTTACGAGACTAATGACCTCAGTAGTTGACGTGCACGAAATCACTAACAACCGTCCGACCTGCGTGACACCCCTCATGTCAAGACGAGCTCTAAGCTCGGAACTAGTCTCCCGGCGTGTGCGATAAGTAGCCCCGTGTGGTGCATGTAAGTGTAAATGTATGTAAGTAAGGCGTAGGATAAAACAAGGAATGAGAAGGAACGATCGCGACCGATTCGTGGTCCGTTTTTCAAGGCATTGCTTCTATATCGTCCCAAAACTACGGATCACAGCAGCCAGCCAGCAGAATTCTCCTCCAGACAGCGGCAGATCTCGAACTAGGTATCTAGCCAGTGCCTAATGCCCTACCACCGTCACGAGTCGAACTTTAGACCTCCCGTTCAGAGGTACTGCAGTGACATCAGTTAATGCCCTGAGCCACCTCTCCCAGTGGCAATCACAGAGCGCGGTGAAATAGGACGGAGCGTGTCGGACAAACCCAGAGCGTGCTTCGGCGAGGCGGAGCGCGGCCGAGAGCGGCGAAAGGGGTGGAGGAAGACGGGACGAGATGGAACAGAATTAAGGACAACTAGGCAGACCAGACCGCGATAAAACAGCGAAGCAGGTTGGAGCGGTGAGAAGCAGACTTACCCGTAGCCGAGCGAGTCAGAGCTGCGGACAGCGACGCCGAGTGGGCGGAGACGACATGGAGCGCAGCATGGCATAGCGGAACGGAGAAAGCGGAGCTGGGCGAAGCGGGATGACGCGGGACGAAGCGGGACGAATCGAGACGAATCGAAACGAAGTGAGACGAAGCGGGACGAAACGGGACGACGTGGGACGTAGCGAGACGAAGTGGGACGAAGCGAGACGAAGTGGGACGAAGCGAGACGAAGTGGGACGAAGCGAGACGAAGTGGAACGAAGCGAGATGATGCGGGATGAAGCGGGGCAAGCGAGTCGTAGCGAGACGAAGTGGGACTAAGCGGGGCGAAGCGGGACGAACTGGGACGAAACGGGACGAAACGGGACGAAGCCGGTCGGAGCTAGTCGAAGCAAGAAAAAGCGGGACGAAGCGAGACGAAGCAAGATGATGCGGGACGAAGCGCGGCGCAGCGAAAAGGGGCGTTGCGGATCAGCGATGTGGGGGTGCGGGGCGGGAGCGAGGGAGCCGATGGGGAGTTGCTTAGCGCAGTGCGGGT